CACCAGAAACCTGCCGTCTGCGGTCCTAAACGTGTCTACTGCCCCCTGGTGGACGGCCTACAGCTGGTGTTTTATTTCGTTTATTACTGTTATATTACATAGTTACATTATTTATTTTTATCTCATCTAGGGAACAACTCGATTCAAGATGGCCGCCACAGCTAACTCAAAACTTGCTCTGGTAGGAACGAGGGCCTTGTGAATCCTTCTTCTGGGAAAAAAAGCTCCGGTGCTGTTTGAGGACGTGGAAATCAGCCCGAGGAGAAAGTGTCACAACACGAGAGGATCTGGAGTCTTATTTCCTGATCTTTTGACATCTCTCCTCTGATTGGCTAACAGCAACACGACTCTGCCACTGACTCTGTCTGCTCTGCAAGAGTCCATGAATGTTAGCGGCAGTACGACGTAGACCAGTCAGGCGCCGTCTTCTGATAAGAACCTACAGCAGGAGATCGGTGTAGGAGACTATTTTCATGTTCAGCCTGTATGAGACGCTCAGAGGGACCCGTTGGAATCAGACATAATCATCAAAGAATGACTTTTAGGAATCAGTTACTAAACAACAGATTGACTCCACCTCATCTCAACTCTGGCATGAAGGTAAAGACGTGAAACTGTACATGCAGCGAGGCAACGGTTACCATGGCGAGCTGCAGCCTCACGCCTATCATCCATCCAGCCGAGTGAAAATCACGCGTCACAAAAACTTCCTGAAAAATCTCAGAACATCAGCTCCACTTCCTCCGACTCAGGCTAAGCTTGCTCTGTGTGTGTGTGAGGAGGATCTACCTGTGAGGTTGAGCGTGGACGGGGACAGGGCCACGGGGTCCGACAGGCGGTTCAACGGAGCGCCGTCCTGCAGCCAGATGACTCGGACCGGTTCCGGAGGTCCGTGGGCCACGCAGCTGAGGCTCAGGGAGGTGTTTGCCACCAGAGTCTTGTGCTGGGGCTCCACGGAGAAATGAGGAAGGCCTGAGGGGACACAGCTGAGTCAGGGCTTTGTTCACACACGTTCAGGTGTGTTACTCAGGCCACAGGTGCGTGATCCCTACGAGGTCTACGTCAGGTTAAAGGTCGATCAGGCTTCTCACCAAGAAGCTTCGTTACAAAACAGGAATAACCCACCGAACGCATCTCACCTTCCAGCTGGAGCCGCCCCTCTCCGGACAACGTCTGGTTGTTTCCTGACAGGACGGCACATCTGTAGGAGCCCATGTCAGGCAGCTGGACCTTCTCTATTCTGACGTCCAGACAGAGAAACCAGAGGTCAGCGTTTGAAGGCACAAACAGACACAGAAGATCAGCCGCTGAAGCAGCTTCCTACTTCAGCGTGCTCCTGACGGTCCTGCTGTTGCTGCCGGTGAGAACTTGGATCTGGTCGGTGTCGGCGTGCTGGAGGGGGACTCCGTTTCTCATCCAGACCACGTCAGGGGCGTCCTCTTCCTCCCCGCCGCTACATTTCAGGGTGCAGTGCATCATCACGGGTTTCCCCAGCGAGGAGACGATGGTGCCGGGACTCTCCTGGAACTCCAGATCTTTAGTTAGGAAGCAGAGGGAGGAGTTAGTTCAGGGTCACAGGTATTCTTCCAACAGACAGTCTTTCTGATAAGCGACGACACTGAGCAGATCCCTGATAGCGGGTCTGACCCGAGAGGGACGGCGCTGATTCGGATCGGGACAAAGGGCCGCTGTTAGCTGCTTCTGACCCCCGACACAAACTAAACAGCTTCCCTGGAAAGGCCGCAGGTCGTCTGCCAAGATGTCTGACGGTCTGTTAAACATCCAGAACAAGTCAGCGTAAACACAGCCGGCCGGCTCACTTCATCACGTCTGAGGCACGGCAGCGACCGTCAGGAATGTGTGATCCGAACACGTCCGACCGGAACGCTTCACTTTTTCTGCTTCAGAACAAAAATAAATCTAGACTCATCACATCCCTGTTTCGTTCCCTTCGGAACACAAGATTTTCCCGAGCTTGTCAGGGATCCTCGCATGTCAAATTCAGAGTCAACCTTTGACCTTTGATCCCACAAGACTCCACTAGCGCACATCTCACTCTCATCCTGGTTTGATCGTTGGACGTTCATGCCTGCTTCCTGCTCTGGACCCCCTCCCTGCATGTTTTCGGCCTGGATGAGCATCGTGAACCAGGAACAAAAACAGTCCCACTTTCCTCCTCTTTTTTATGCTTTTATGGAATAATAAATCTTTTATTTGGAGGCAGAACCGGAGAAGGAGCGTGTCTTTGTGTGTGTGATGCTTTTGTCCTGGTTCCTCCCTCAGGTCCAACACCCTTCTCCTCCCTGGCTCCTCTACTCCCACATGGAAAGCAATGCAGAGATGCTGAAGGTCGGGAGCGCTCCTCTGCCTCCTCCCTAACTCCCTCCTCCATCGTTTTTATTTTAACGTAGATCCGCCCCTCCATTCAGAGACGCGCCTTTGCCCTTTTCTCCTCCTCATACCATTCCTCGGAGTCACCCCCCACCTCCCCATCCATCATTTGGCTGCCTGGCTCTGACTCACAGCCACCAGCAACCTTCTCATCCTGAAAATATGCTCATATTTATAAACGGTATCTGGAGCTTTATTCCATAGATCTGCTGTCTCCGTCGGAGCTGGCTGGACCTCTGCTGAAGCCGCCGGATCATCAGCCGCTCTGATAATGAAGCTGAAACTCGATTAAAACGAGTTAAACTCGTAACGCTTCTCACCTCCCAAAGACTTTCACTCCTGTTGTTTTTGTTTTGTCCGTCCGTCTGAGCGGCGGCGCTTTGGAGAAACTGAGATTACATTTATGCAAGAAAACATAACAATGCTGCTATAATAATAATAATTATTGTGAAATTAAAGCCCTAAAGATTTCTGCTGCACTGAGAATAATCACATTGTGTCACATTTATGAAATGAAGGAATGGCACCAACGGCTATGAAACGCTTTAAGACACAGAAACATTTTTTAACTCCGGCTAGCTCAACGTTTCTAATCATTTCCATGACCTTGCAACCTTAATGAAGCAACAGATGAATAAAAAAATCAAGTAAAAAATCAGAGTCTCAAATAAAAATTTGGGCATCTCACTGTAAAAAAAATATCATTAATGTAAAAAAGAAACTCGAAATGAACTATGTTCGCATCCAGAATCGAACCCGGGTCTTCTGCATGAGAGTCCGACGTCTTAAGGTTGGTTTATGCTTGACGCGTCCGCGAGGTTCGCACGGCTCCGCGCGGAAAAGTTGCGTCATTTTAACAACCACGCCCCTCCGCCGAGCCTCCGCACGGCCCAGAATTTCCGCAACGCGCACCTCGGAAAATTTCTAACCACGTGGACGGACGGACGCGGAAAAACATGGCGGACTGGCAAGAACTAGTATGGCAGAGGTTGGTAAATACAGACATTTGTATGATTCAGCTCTCAGAGATCACCGTGATCAACATGTTGTTAATAATTCTTGGAGAGAAATAGCTCGCACTGTCGGAAAAGACGAGGACGCTGTTAAAAATGCTGGAATGCCATGTTGTACACAGTAATTTCTACTTCTACTATGGTGTAGTGTTGGATGCTTGCCGTAGAGCTCCATGCTGCCCCCTACAGTTTGGGAGAATATTGGCTCACCGCAGAGACGAGCCGCATGAACCATAAACGCTGCGAGTTGTGAAGTGCGTTCCATCCGCGAGCCGCATCGCGCGGACAGTGAATGCGTCAAGTATAAACCAAGCTAGGTGAGCTAAAGCACCAGTGATGTCCTTTGTATCTGTAACATTTATATCGTTGATGACAGCTGAAACAACGTCAAACCAAAGAACGGTTCGGAGTGAAAATGGCTATTTTGTTGCTAATTAGCAGGAAATATCTAGAAGAAAGTTCTACAGAAAGTAGCTAAGGTTCCTCAGAAATGTAGCTAGCTTTGTCACTAGGCGTTAGGAACAGCGACAAAGTGGCACTGCCTCTCTCTCTGCTGCTAAAGCTACGGATAGCAAACGCTACGGGCGATGCCTGAGCGTGAACGCGCATGAAGCAGCCTGCTCGACCCGAGCATCTCTCTTTTTCTGTGATTTTACAGAAAAACAGGCAATCACAGTAAAAATGCCAGGGCTCATTCTACAGGACCAGGGCATTGCAGGAGAATGTATGAAGAAGACATTTATTATTTCTATACATGTTTTGGCTGTCACACTTCCATAATGCACCTTTAACACGAGCCAAAGAAAGCTCTCGGAGGGCCTCAGATGGCCCACGCACCACACCTTTAACAGATCATGGACCTTCAGGCAGTCACGTGTCAGACTGTAAAAGTGCCATCACACCTCTCATGAAATTCTCACTTCCTATAATCATGCATTTGTAGCTCGTGCCTTTTGCCCTGCAGCATCTGTCCTCAGAAACAGCGCAGACTGGTCCGGAGCGGATCTGCTCCAACCAGGAAAACAACAGGAATAAAAACAACTTCAAACGTCCCCAACTCCTCAGAAATAAAACACAAATGAAGCCTCTGATTTGTTTTCTTGGTGAGCTTGTTGTGAAACATTTTACAGCTGTAATAAAACCCTTCATGCTGTCCAGATGTGGGGTTCCCTGCTGAGCGCTGTGGTTTTGCTCAGAAGCCCAAAAGCTAATTGTTGTAATGAGTAACGAGCAGAAAGCTGATTGCAGCTCTGAAAGCAGGTTGGGTCTGAGCTGGGGGGTTAACCCTTACCTGACAGTTGTCCGGCGTCAGCTGGCCCCCACGGCGCACACACGACCCCGAGGACCAGAAAAGTCCATCTCCGCAACTCCATGGTTCCTCTGAGCTCCATCAGCGCATCTCAGCAGCTTCGCTGAAGAAGAGATGGTCCTCGGAGCAGATCCCTTCCTTCCCCCTTGGATAAACAGCTGCTCCGACGTCCCGCTGCGCAGAACAAACCGCGTCTGTGCGCTAAAGTTCTGATTCTCCAAAGAGCGCAGCAGAAATGCGCTCTTTGCGCCGGTGGCTCTACTTCCAGAAACACAGCGAGTACTTTT